CCTTTGCTGTTGGTTCACCCTCCAATGGCCGCCGCGGCTGGCGCACTGCGGCTGGCGCACCGTGCTGACCCAGTGGCAGGAGCCAGCTACTTCTCCTGGTCTCCCATGGGGTGCAGGGCCCAAGCACTTGGGCCATCCTCCACTGCACTCCCTGGCCACAGCAGAGAGCTGGCCTGGAAGAGGGACAACCGGGACAGAATCCGGCGCCCTGACCTGGACTAGAACCCGGTGTGCCAGCGCCACAAGGCGGAGGATTAGCCTAGTGAGCTGTGGCACCGGCCTTAGCTAATATTTCATCTCCCCATTTCCTCATCATAAGCAAGAGCTCCTTAACTATCTTACTCATCTTGAATTCTCTCTTTCCCCAATCTATCCTGTATGGTACTTATCAGGTCAATCTTTTCATCCTGACATCATCTACAAAGATAAGTGATTCCTCTATATTGGCTTATTGAATAAAGGCCAAGAAATCTGTGGCATTCAACCACTCCAGTTTGCTCCCACCAAACTGGTCATCTTTATCACCCCAGTAATCTACCTCCCATCTTTCTCTAATATTTTTATAATGTTTTAATCTTCAAAGAAATTCAACAAATATTAGTTCATCTGATCACTGGGATGATTTTTATTAATGTATAACAAATGTGCAAATAACAACTATATAGTGCTACATGTTTTCACAAACTGAACACACTAGGAATCACCACCCAGATCAAGAACCGAAATGGTATCAAAACCCAGAAAAGTTCTCATGTTCTCCTTCGGTTACCATCCCTACCAAAAGGAAACTCTTTCCTAACCTATATTACTACATGGCAAGAAAATTCAGTTTTTTCACAATAGGTATGTTCTATGAAATTTGGAGGATTCTTCTTATGTATGGATTTCTAAAAATTTTTGCATCAAAGTCAACTTATCTTTTATGTCCAACTTCCATGATATTTTTGAAGCACTCTCACATATACAGTTTCCAGAGAAATGGCTGAATCATAGAATATGCATGTATTCAGCTTTAGTAGATTCTGCCAAAAAGTTTCCAAAGGGACTGTACCAGTTCATGTGTTTCATTTCCTAATACTGCCACTGACAATTGGCATCACTTTTCATTTTAGCCATTCTAGTTGGTAAAGTAGTGGCATCTTTCTATGTTTTTAATTTGTATTTCCCTGTTAGCAAATGAGATTAACTATGATCTCCTGAGAACAATGAGGCTCAGAAAGATTACTGGTGGATACCAGATCAAAATTGAAGTCTCCTGGCTATAAGCTCATCTTTTTTTTTTTTTTTTTCCACCCTACATAAACACTATTCCAGAAGATCAAGGTTCTAGCAAAGCCACTAAACGTGCCATACTGCTGCCGCTACATCTTAGTTGTGTGATCCTGCACAAGTGACTGGGATGCAACAGTCTCCTGTGTAACACAAGGGAGAAACAGGTCTAGCAGCACCAGGTATGTACTCAATAGTCATTATCTGGGGCTGGCGCTGTGGCATAGCAGGTAAAGCCGCTACCTGTAGTGCCAGCATCCCATATGGACGCCGGTTTGGGTCCTGGCTGCTCCACTTCCGATTCAGCTCTCTGCTATGGCCTGGGAAAGCAGTAAGAAGAGGACCCAAGTCCTTGGGCCCCTGCATCTGCATGGGAGACCTGGAAGAAGCACCTGGCTTCTGGTTTTTGGATTGGTGCAGCTCTGGCTGTTGCAGCCAACTGGGGAGTAAATCAGAGGATGGAAGATCTCGCTCTTTCTCTGCCTTTCCTTCTCTCTCTATATAACTCTTTCCAACAAATAAATAAAAAGCTTAAAAAAAGGTCATTATTCCTAAATGAAAAATATCTGTGAGTGAGATCTCAATGGAAAGAACGGGCCATCAAAGAAGGAGGTACCTTTCTCTGAAGGGAGGAGAGAACTTCCACTTTGACTATGACCTTATCTAAATAAGATCAGAGTGGGCGAACTCAAAAGGCTTCCATAGCCTTGGCAACTCATGACAAGAGCCTAGGGTGATTACTGACACCATAAACAAGAGTGTCAATTGTTAAATCAACAACAGGAGTCACTGTGTACTTACTCCCCATGTAGAATCTTCGTCCTTAATGTGTTGTACAATGTGAATTAATGGTATAACTAGTACTCAAACAGTATTTTACACTTTGTGTGTCTGTGTGGGTGCAAACTGTTGAAATCTTTACCTAATATATACTAAATTGATCTTCTGTACATAAAGATAATTGAAAATGAATTTTGATGTGATTGGGATGGGAGAGGGAGTGGGAGATGGGAGGGTTGTGGGTGGGAGGGAAGTTATGGGGGTGGGGGAAGCCATTGTAATCCAAAAGCTATACTTTGGAAATTTATATTTATTAAATAAAAGTTAAAAAACAGGTCATTATTTTATACTTAATACTCAGATGACAACTCACAACTTTAAAAATTTGGTTTACTATGTTAATCTTTTCTTCCATGTCTTCCCCTACAACCTTTAACATTTTTTTTTAAGATTTATTTTTGGCCAGTGCCACGGCTCACCAGGCTAATCCTCTGCCTTGCAGCGCTGGCACACCGGGTTCTAGTCCCGGTCAGGGCGCCGGATTCTGTCCCGGTTGTCCCTCTTCCAGGCCAGCTCTCTGCTGTGGCCAGGGAGTGCAGTGGAGGATGGCCCAAGTACTCAGGCCCTGCACTACATGGGAGACCAGGAGAAGCACCTGGCTCCTGCCTTCGGATCAGCACGGTGCGCCGGCCGCGGCGGCCATTGGAGGGTGAACCAATGGCAAAGGAAGACCTTTCTCTCTGTCTCTCTCTCTCACTATCCACTCTGCCTGTGGAAAAAAAAAAAAAAGATTTATTTTTATTTATTTGAAAGGCGAGGAAATTGGGATTCCGATCTTTCATCTATTGGTTCACACCTCAAATACCTAAAATAGCCAGGGATGGGCCATGCTGAAGCCAGTAGTCTGGTACTCAATTTGGGTCTTGCCAATGAGTGACAGGAATCCTATGACTTGAGCAATCAACTGGTCTCTAGCAGGGTACACATTAGCAGGAAAGCAAAATTAGAGTGAGACAGAACTGGAACCCAAGTAGCCCTAATGGGACGCAGGCATCTTCATCCCTGACCAACCTCTACATACCTTCTTAATTAAGCAGATTTTCTTTTAATCTTGCAAATTCAGTTTCCCCCATTTCCCAACTCCGTGAATTTCTTTCCTTTGCTATACTTCACTAATACTCTCCCAGAACACTTAGGGGGCATCTATATTCACTTTTATCTTAGTTGCTTTAACTATCAAGCTATTTAGTTAAGGCAATCAGAAGACTGAAATGAGAAGAAACCAATTGGCAACAAGTCCTTAGAAATCTATAGGATACACAAATAACTACTGCAGTCCTGTGTATGGAGGCACATAAAGTCCCATTATAATGCTTTCAGGTGTGAGACTACAGTGACAGACTGCGCCAAATGCCAGCCTACTATTATTGCTAAAGGTAGAAGTATTTGTGAGAACAGATTACAGGCCGGTGCCATGGCTCACTTGGTTAATCCTCCGCCTGTGGCACTGGCATCCCATATGGGCGCCGGGTTCTAGTCCCGGTTGCTCCTCTTCCAGTCCAGCTCTCTGCTGTGGCCCAGGAAGGCAGTGGAGGATGGCCCAAGTGTTTGGGCCCTTGCACTCGCATGGGAGACCAGAAAGAAGCACCTGGCTCCAGACTTAGGATCGGCACAGTGCCGGCCGTAGCAGCCATTTGGGGGGTGAACCAATGGAAGGAAGACCTTTCTGTCTTTCTCTCTCTCACTGTCTATAACTCTACCTGTCAAATAAATAAAAAAAAAAAAAACAAAAACAGATTACAAGAAACTTGACTTTTAAAGAATCTTATAGTATGTTATGATATAGTATCATACAAATATTATGATACTGTTGTGCTTTATTATGATAAAGATTTCATAAAAATCTAGAATGTAATAAGTGACAACTTCACACCTATTTTACCTACCACCCTAAACACTATGCTAGGTATTTTTCATACCTAATTTTTTTTTTTTAAGATTTATTTGTTTGAAAGTGAGTGAGTGAGAGAGAGAAAAAAAGAGAGAGAGAGAGAGAGACAAGGAGAGACAAGACAAAGAGATCTTCCATCTGCTGGTTCACTCCCCAAATCAAATGGCTGCAATGGCCAGGGCTGGGCCAGGCAGAAGCCAGGAGCTTCACCCCGATCTCCTACGTGACATCAGGGGCCGAAGAACTTGGGCCATTCTCTGCTGCTTTTCCAGAACACAAGCATGGAGATGGACTGGGAGTGGAGCAGTTGGGACTTGAATTGGCATCCACATGGGATGCCGGTGTCACAGGTGGTGGCTTTACCTGCTATGCCACAACACTGATCCCACATTACCCAATTTAATCCTCAAAACTCAAAAATATAATTCATATTTACACATCAGGAAACTAAGACTCAATGAGATTATGTAGTTTATGTAAGATTACATAGTTTACAACAGAGAGACATGGGACTACAATCCAAGAGCACTTGAGTTTAAAGTCACCAGACTTCCCTGTATGCCACGCTGCCATCATTATAAAAAACAAAAACAATAACAACAACAACAACAAAAACCTAGAGCTCTTCCTCTGCCTGAGTATAGCACGGCCATCATGTGCTGCCCAGTGTACTTTCCCTCACAGGAGTACTGAACTGGATAGGAACCTGGTACTGCTATCCTGTGTTCTAGGTCACTTCCTCTCAGTTAACTAAACAACCACCACAAAAACCTACACTTGCATCTGCTCATCTAAGAAGGACACCTGGGGATGCAAATGAGGAAGCATGTTTATAGAACCCTGGGATCTATCTTGGGAATGCTTTTCAACACATGCCTTTAAACAGCTTTGTCATTTTCAGAGACAGAAAGGGTGATGGACATAAAGTAAGAATACATGCCAAAGGCCAAATCAAATTAGGCCGAGGGGAAAACCCGGACTCTGTGGTGATGGCTCTTACTGTGTGCTGAGGGCCATCTTCATTGTCCCTCATGTAGAAAGGTTTGAGTGCCAACGGGTAATTGATGATGAAGACAGGAATGTTGCCACAGTGCTCCACCAGGTACTTCTCATGTTCAGTTTGCAGATCTGCACCCCACTGTAATGAGGAAAAAGAAATGACCAAAAAGAGAAGACAGAGCAGAAATACTCAATTAAGCACCCAAAAACAATCTGAATCAGTTCCAAGGGCTTGTTCTCCCTGAGGCTCAACAATGTGTGGAGCTGGCTGCTGAGGTTACACAGCTGACTAAACTGGAGAGATTTGTTAACATGAACAGCCACAGGCCTGGGAAGATGAAAGCTGAAACCAGTAAACACCATGCTTTCTGTCCCCAGCTCAGAGAGCAGTGTTCAGCAGACGATCAGCACCTGTGGGAAAACAAGGCCCCCTTTCCAGAATCACCGTGGTTATTAATATCGCCTAGAGCGTCTTCCACGTTACTGCTCCTAAGTCTCAGGAAATTAAATGACGGAAGATAATGTTATCCTAGCATTGAGCTTATCTTTGGCTAGCTGGCTTCTCTCAGTGAATCTTTTCAAATAAGAGTCAATTCATATCTCAGATGATCGTTGATAAATATTTAATAACACTGTTTATTTATTTAGCAAATACTAATGTGCCTATTAAATTCTAGGAACCAGGCTAAGTACTGGATATGATGGTAAGAAAAAGCTATAATACCTGATTTCATGACACTTTCAGGGTAGGAGACAAACAGTGAATGAAAAACTACATAAAGAGCTCATTATAAATACAAAACACACAGGTGACTGTTAATACTTGGGGACAGAATTGGTGTTAGGAAAAGAGTCTGAAGAGAAATGTTGATACTCTTATCATTATCTTCCAAATCACACTTGTCTGGTTGTATCTTAATTATAGGAGAAAAGGACTGTGATAGGAATGAAGAGACTTGTTCTATCACCAACTACACACCCACTCATAAATCATACAGCCTATCTGGACCCAGCCTTCCTGATAAGACAAAAAGCCTCTGCAGAAGAAGAGCAGAACAGTGGTTGCCAGGTGCTAGTGGGTGGGGAGGAGGAGAGATGCTGATCAAAGGGCACACACTTTCAGTTATAAGACGAACAAGTTCTTGGAAGCTAATGTACAACATGGGTGCTAATGGACATGGTAATTAATTTATTTTTTCAAAAGATTTATTTATCTTCTTGAAGAGGCAGAGTTACAGACACAGAGAGAGATTTTCCATCCACTGGTTCACTCTCCAAATGGCTGCAATGGCCGGAGTGAAGCCATCCATTGCCAGAAGCCAGGAGCTTCTTCCGCGTCTCTCAGGTGAGTGCAGGGGCCCAAGCACTGGGGCCATCTTCCACTGCTTTCCCAGGCCATAGCAAAAAGCTGGATTGGAAGTGAAGTAGCTGGAAATAGAACCAGCGCCCATATGGGATGAAGGTGTCACAGACAGAGGCTTAATCTACTATGTACACCACAGCACTGGCCTGGGGTAATTAATTTGATTTTAACAATCACCGCACAATATATACATATATAAAATTGTCACATTATATACTTTGAACATAGTAACATTTATTTTGTCTACTAAATGTTGTAAAATTCTAAGAAAAGGAATTCTTAAATTTTTTTGTCCCTAGGGGCTGGCGGTGTGGCTTAGCGGGTAAAGCCGCTGGCTGCAGTGCCAGCATCCCATGTGGGTGCCGGTTCTAGTCCCAGCTGCTCCCCTTCTGATCCAGCTCTCTGGATGGCCTGAGTCCTTGGGCCCCTGTACCCATGTGGGAGACCCCAATGAAGCTCCTGGCTCCTGATCTGTGGTGCTCAGGCCATTGCAGCCAATTGAGGAGTGAACCCGCAGATGGAAGACCTCTTTCTGTCTCTCCTTCTCTCTCTGTGTAAGTCTTTCAAATTAATATACAAATCTTTAAAAATTTATTTCCCCAAATTAAAGGCTCTATATTGTTCAAGTGAAAAGAAACCTGCTTAATATGTTACCAAAGCTTATTTGAGAATATAACCTTCTTGTAACTTTTTAATATCATTCAGAATATATTCTGGGAAATACTCAATCAGTTGATTACCACAGTAATATTCTTTTTAAAATTTAATTTGAGAAACAGAAAGACAGAAATGGAGGGAGACACAGAGAGCTCCCATCTGCTGGTTCATTCCCTGAATATCCACAATGGCCAAGCTGGGAGCTGTGAACTTAATCCAGGATTCCCATGTGGGTGGTAGGGACCCAAATACTTGAGTCTTCACCACTGTATCCCAGGATGTGCATTAGCAGGAAGTTGGAATCAGGAGAGGAACTCAAATCTGGGAACTGTGAAATGGGATGGGGGCATCCTAAACAGCAGCTTAACTACTTGCTCAAATGCCCAGCCTTCCACAGTAATATTTCACAGAATATACTTATGAAATAGAAATTTCATAAATATATTTTAGGAGTATAGTGATTCTTCCTACCATACCCAGCCTCCCACCCACACTCCCATCCTTCCTCCTCCTTCTCCCCTTCCCAGTCCCTTTCTCAAGATTTTCAATTAACTTGGTACACATAAGACCAAATCTATACTAAGTAAGGATTTCAACTATTTGCACACACATGCACACACACACACACACAGTCTGAGAACTACTTTTACAGTTAACTCTCATAATACAACTCATTGAGGATAGAAGTCCTGCATGTGAAGTTAGTGCACAGTGACTCCTGTTGTTAATTTAACAATTAACAATCTTATGTATGATGTCAGTGATCACCTGAGGCTCTTGACATGAGCTCCTAGGCTATGAAAGCCTTTTGAATCCACAAACTCTGTCAGTATTTAGACAAGGCCATAAGCAAAGTGGAAGTTCTCTCCTCCCTTTACAGAAAAGGACCTCCTTCTTCGATGGCCACTTCTTTCTGCTGGGGTTTCACTCACAGAGATCCTTCATGGAGAACAGTTTCTGCCACAGTGTCTTGGCTTTCCATGCCTGAAATGATCTCACAGGCTTTTCAGACAGACCAGAAAGCCTTAAAGGCTGATTCTGAGGTCAGAGTGCTACTTAAAGCGATTGTCATTACATGAGTTTGCTGTGTGGACTGCCTCCTATTTTGGAACATTCTTTCCTTTTTTAATTCTACCTATTATTATTACCAGACACTTGATCCTATTTATATGATCACTTTAACTCTTAATCCTACCTATATGTTCACCTTAACACTTAATATGATCACTTTAACAATTAAGACGGCATTTTTAGCACCCAGCTTAATGGGATTTGGGGTCTCATGACAAGTTTTTTTTAAGATTTTATTTATTTGTTTGAGAGGTAGAGTTACAGACAGTGAGAAGGAGAGACAGAGAGAAAGGTTTTCCTTCCATTGGCTTACTCCCCAAATGGCCACATTGGCCGGAATTGTGCCTATCTGAAGCCAGGAGCCAGGAGCCTCTTCCTGGTCTCCCATGTGGGTACAGGGGCCCAAGCATTTGGGCCATCTTCCACTGCTTTCCCAGGCCACAGCAGAGAGCTGGACTGGAAAAGGAGCAGCCGGGACTAGAACCAGTGCCCATATGTGATGCTGGCACCACAGGAGGAGGATTAATCTACTCTGTGCCATGGCACCAATCCCCTGACAAGTTTTTAAACTGTACTTTTAGAAGTCCATAGGAATGTATGCAGATCTATACAGCTTTACAGTTACAAACTTCCTCTTCCTCCTCTTATTCCGACTCTTATTTTTTTTTACTGAGATCCATCCTCAATTGATTTTATATGCATACGATTAACTCTATGTTAAGTAATGAGTTTAACAAATCGCATGAAGAAAAAAAATGAAACTTTCCTCGACAGTCAAGACAAGGGTAGCTCAAGTCATTCCTTCTCGAAGTGTCAATTTCACTTCTACAGCTTTTGTTTTAGGTGTTCTATTCGTTCTTGCAGATCAGGGAGAACATATGTGGTCGGCTTATTTTACTAAGTATGATGTTTTCCAGATTCATCCATTTTGTTGCAAATGACCGGATTTCATTTTTTTTTGTACTGCTGTGCAGTATTCCATAGAGTCCATATCCCATAATTTCTTCTTCAGTTGATGGGCATTTAGGTTGGTTCCATGTCTTAGCTACTGTGAATTGAGCTGCAATAAACATGGGGGTGTAGATAACTCTTCTATTTCCTTTTTCTCCATATTCTTGCCAGCATTTGTTTTTTGTTGATTTCTGTATGAAAGTCATTCTAGGGCCGGCGTCGTGGCTCCATAGGCTAATCCTCCACCTAGCGGTGCCGGCACACTGGGTTCTAGTCCCGGTCGGGGCGCCGGATTCTGTCCCGGTAGCTCCTCTTCCTGTCCAGCTCTCTGCTATGGCCTGGGAGTGCAGTGCAGGATGGCCCAAGTGCTTGGGCCCTGCACCCCATGGGAGACCAGGAGAAGCACCTGGCTCCTGCCTTCGGATCATCGTGGTGCGCTGGCCGCAGCGTGCTGGCCGTGGCAGCCATTGGAGGGTGAACCAACGGCAAAAGGAAGACCTTTCTCTCTGTCTCTCTCTCTCACTGTCCACTCTGTTCAAAAAAAGACAACCAAAAAAAAAAAAAAAAAAAAAAAGCCATTCTAACTGGGGTGAGGTGAAACCTCACAGTGGTTTTGAATTGTATCTCTCTGACAGCTAGTGATCCTTTTCATGTGTCTGTTGGCCATTTGGATTTCTTCTTTTGAAAAATGTCTGTTGAAGTCCTTTGCCCATCTCTCTTTTTATTTTAAATGACTATCTTTTTTAAGATTTATTTATTTATTTGAAAGTCAGAGTTAAGTAGAGAGAGAGAAAGAGGAGAGATTGGTCTTCTATCCACTGGTTCACCGCCTAATTGGCCCAACGGCCGGAACTGTGCCAATCTAGAGCCAGGAGCTTCTTCTGGGTCTCCCACGTGGGTGTAGGGGCCTAAGGACTTGGGCCATCTTCCATTGCTTTCCCAGGCCATAGCAGAGAGCTGGATCGGAAGTCGAGCAGCCAGGACTCGAACCGGCGCCCATACGGGATGCTGACACTGCTGGCAATGGCTTTACCTGCTACGCTACAGCACCGGCCCCTGCCCATTTCTTAACTGGGTTATTTGTTTTGTTGCTGTGGACACAGTAATGTTCTTTTACCATTCATTTTTGGATGTTTTAGGATTCACTTCTTTTTTAGGATTTTCACCTTCCTAACCTTGATACCATTTTACTTCCAAATTAAGTATTTCAACAATGTCCTATAACCATGAAACAAAACCTATATACAAATGAGGCAAAATTATACATTGGTTTAAAAGAAAAAAGGTTATTTTGAAGGAGTCTTCATGAATAGAAAAGATAAATATACTTGTATTTTCAGCCCCCATGCCCACACACATTAGTACCTCTGGGGTGAAGGTAAAATTCTGGGATGCTTTCTTTAAGATTTCCACTGCTTCGGTATAAGAAATTCTGAAGAAAATAAAAGTACAAGCAGAGAAAGATCAATACAATAGGACTGCAGTTAGCTAGTTGACATTAAAACTACAAAAAGCCTATTCCCCTACAGTCTGTGAGATCAATGTCTTTGGCAGTATCTTTCAAAATATATACTAGTTAAAAGCTACAACCCAACAATTCCATATTTCCCTGTGCAAACTTAATATATAAAATTTACTTGTAATAGTATTAAATAGATATATGCAGTCATGATTTACAATAGCAAAAGACTGAAAACATCTGAAATATGTATCAATATATAACAATAATATATATAATATAATATATAACAATAATATATCCACAGAATAGCATTTTTAAAGTGTTTACTTTTCATCTACTTGAAAGGCAGAGTGAGAGTGAGACAGGAGCACATGTGGTTGCAGCGGACCAAGCACTTGTGCCATCCTCCAGTGCTTTCTCAGGCAAATCAGCAGTGAGCTAGATTGGAAATGGAGCAGCTGGGAATCAAATGGGACACTGGCTTCACACATGGAACCTTAACCTGCTGTGCTACAATGCCCCTAACAGTTTTTATATGATTAAAAGATTTTAGAAACTTTCTGAAGGACCTTGAATTCAAAAAATAACCACTAAGGGGCTGGCACTGTGGCATAGTGGGTGAGGTCAATGACTGCAATGCCTGTCTCCCAAATGGGCACTGGTTTGTGTTCTAGCTGCTCCACTTCTAATCTAGCTCCCTCTCAGTAGCCTGGGAAGGACAGTGGAGGATGGCCCAAGTGCCTGGGCCCCTGCTATCCACATGGGAGACCTATAGGAGGCTCTAGGCTCTTGGCTCTTGGGTTTGGCTGGGCCTAGCTCCAGCCATTGGGGCCATCTGAGGAGTGGCCAGTGGACAGATCTCTTTCTCTGTCCCTCTGTGGAACTGACTTTCAAAAAATCTTTTTAAAAACTTACTACCAATCCTCCTCCTCCCCCTCTTTCCCTCTCTCTCTCTGCCTCTCCTCTCTGTATAACTCTTTCAAATAAATAAATAAATAAATCTTTTTATGATGTTTTTATTTTTTTATTTTATTTATTTGAAAGAGTTAGAGAGGTAGAGACAGAGAGAGAGGTCTTCCACTCGGTGGTTCACTCCCCCGATGGCCGCAATGGCCGGAGCTGCGCCAATCCGAAGCCAGGAGTTTTCTCCAGGTCTCCCATATGAGCGCAGGGGCCCAAGGACTTGGGCCATTTTCCACTGCTTTCCCAGGCCATAGCAGAGAGCTGGATCGGAAGTTGAGCAGCCAGGTCTCAAACCAGCACCCATACGGGATGCTGGTGCTTCAGGCCAGGGCTTTAACCCGCTGCACCACAGCACCGGCCCCTAAATAAATCTTTAAAAAAGGGGGGGTGGGCAGCACTGTGGCACAGTGGGTTAAAGCCCTGGCCTGCAGTACTGGCATCCTATGTGGGCACCAGTTCGGGAACCGGCTGCTCCTCTTCCAACTCTCTGCTATGGCCTGGGAAAGCAGTAGAAGATGGCACAAGTCCTTGGGTCCCTGCACCCACATGGGGAGACCCAGAAAAAGCTCCTGGCTCCTGGCTTCAGATTGGTGCAGCTCTGGCTGTTGTGGCCAACTAGGGAGTGAACCATTGGATGGAAGACCTTTCTCTATCTCTCTGCCTCTCCTCTCTGTGTAACTCTGACTTTCAAATAAATAAATAAATCTTAAAAAAAAAAAAAAACTACCAAAAACCTATCCATATAAGTAAAAATGAAGCTCAGATTTGCAAAAATTAACTGGAAACAGTTGTGTATTACAGGATGAAGAAAGTCCACAAAGCTATGTTTTCAGTGTCTAGTAGTTTTTTTTTTTTTTTTTTTTTTTTAGGATGGAAATTCTATTCAATAAAATCTAGTATTAAAACACAGGTAATTTTAGATGTAATGATGGTGGTGGCATTAGTGGCACTGGCAGCAGTAGTTGTAGTAATAATCACAGAAATCAGCATTTGGGAGAAGGGAAATGGATGCTCAGAGAGGATCAGAAACTTGCCAAAGAAATAAGCCCTGATCTGATGACAGAGCCTAGCTGTGAACTGCTGGGACAATACTTAAAACACATGGAGTTTTATATGTTCAGTCAACAGAAAAGATGAAAGACTCCGGGTTCTTTTTCTGCCTTTACCATTTACTAGCTATGTAAATCACTTTCAACTTAGTGAAGGCATGCTATTTATTTCTGTGACCTGTTACACAAGCATTAAAAAATTAAGGAGACCAGACTACTCTGTCTAAAGTTCTTTCCTGCTTAGACATTCTACTGTTCTATTCCATCAATTACTTGATATAATCTACCAATTACATTGAGAATTATCAAGTGCAGTCCAAAGGGGAAGCAGAAGGATCTTGTTCCATTTATATGCTACTGTTCCATTAAGGAAAAACAACTCTCATGTCTGAAGATCTCCTGCTCTCCTCCCCGCAGACTTTAATTTAAAGCAAAGCTTTCCAATTTGAAATTACAGTTTTGACACTAAATATCTTTTTTTTCCCCCTCAAATGTCTTTTTCATTTACTTGAAGTGGGGGGGAAAGAGAGAGATAAAGAGAGAGAGAAAAGGGAGAGAGAATATGAATGAATGACGATATAAATATCTCCAAATGCCCACAATAGTGAGGGCTGGGTCAGGCTGAAATCAAGAGCCTGGAACTCCACCTGGGTCTCCCAAATGGGTAGCAGGGGTCCAAGAACTTGAGCCATCTCAGGATGCATTAGCAGGAAATTGGATTAGAAACAGTAGTTCCGTAGCTGCGCTCCAATGTGGTATGTAGTAGGCTTAACCCACTGTGCCACAAAGTCTGAGACTGGGTATCCTTAATGCCCTTTATCAACTTTCTCAACTGAGTACTTCTTCTTGGTATGTACAGAGCACAATATTTCTTCTTTCCAGAAAATGCTTTAAAGTACTACTTGAGGAAAGGAAGAAAAGACATCATACTATAGCTTCAAACTGCCTTCATGTTTCAAACTTATCATTGTTGAATGATGGACATTCATCATTCTAAAGCCAGTAGAGTAAAACTGCTAAGCTGGAGAGATGATAGGAATACTTTTTCTAAAAATCAGAGATAAATGAAGACTAAATAAAGAAGGTAAATGTTTCAAAAACTTGAATATTTTAAAGGAGATAAAAATAATTGAATTTACCAGGCTGGTGCCGTGGCTCACTCGGTTAATCCTCCACCTGCGGTGCTGGCATCCCATGGGCGCCGAGTTCTAGTCCCAGCTGCTCCTCTTCCAGTCCAGCTCTCTGCTGTGGCCTGGGAGGGCAGTGGAGGATGGCCCAAGTGCTTGGGCCCTGCACCCGCATGGGAGACCATGAAGAAGCACCTGGCCCCTGGCTTCAGGTCGGTGTAGTGCCAGCCGTGGTGGCCATTTGGGGAGTGAACCAACGGAAGGAAGACCTTTCTCTCTGTCTCTGTCTCTGTCTGTCTCTCTCTCTCACTGTTTATAACTCTGTCAAATAAAAAAAAATTGAATTTACCTATATTTCTACTTGATAACATAAATTCAATCATTGCCCAATTCTGATTTTTTTTTAAAGATTTATTTTATGTATTTGAAAGTCGGAGTTACACAGAGAGAGGAGAGGCAGAGAGAGAGGCTAGCCTGGGATTCTGGATGGGCCAAACCACAGCTAGTCAGAACTTCAGTTGAGGATCTAGGTAGCCTAGGATGCTTTTTCTCTCAGGCTGGGGAGGGCGACCAACTGGCTATGCTGTCTATGAGATCACCCACCTCAGACTCAGGTGGAGCTATTAGCTGGGCACTGACTGTGACTGCCTGTCTGGGAAGGGTTGCAGGCTGCGTTCTGGGCCTGGCCAATAGAACTGTATTCTGTAGCTGTGCAGCACTGTAGACTTGGCTGCAGGTTTAGGAGGAACTACTGCTCAGGTCTGATGGATTGAGGCTATACTAAGACATGGCTAGTTGAGGCCTGCCTGCCTGCCTGCCTGCCTGCCTGTGGGGAGCTGCAGAGTGGGCTTGGAGGCTGGGCATAGGATGTGACCAGTAGGAACGCATGGTAGGTAGAATTGCCAATTTAGTTTCTGGGAGTTACCTGCTTGGCCTTGTGAGTGAACTATACCACTGGCTGGTATCTCTGGGCACCACTGCTGGCAGGAACACAGAGCTAATACCAATACCTATGGGCTGGGACTTCTTTGTTCTTATCTGACCTCAGTCAGCCTATCCTTGATGTTACCCCCAAGATTTAACATGAGTGAGCAAGAGTAGGGCTCCTGGAAAGTGTTCTAGGATGCTAGGGGAGCTCAGGGTCTATCTTTAGCTCTCTTTTCCCATGGTAGGAACTAGAGGCCCAGGGGGAATCTTCTCTGTGTGGCACTGTGCCTACTTAGAGGAGGGGCAGTGTGGACACAGTGAGACCATTTCTCTTCCTAGTGCAGTTGTTTTCAGTGGTGTAGTATGTGTGGGTGTCTCAGACTCACTCCCAAGTACTGGGGTTTCACAAAGGTGTTGTTTGTGGATAGTTGCTAGGCAGACTTTCTGTGCGGGGAGTGAATCCTAGGACCTCCTATTTATCATCTTGCTGACATCACTCTCCCCATAAATTCAAACTGTAATTATGATTTGTATTCTGCAGAATGGGTGATGATAATGGCAATGACTGAACTGTTATAGCCCATGAGGTCATCTCCCAATCTTAATATTGTACAGACAAGCCCTGTGATATGTAATGGTCATAAGCCAGTGGGGGAACTGTAAGCACTCCACCAGTAATTCCAGTAAACCTTTCAACTACATACAGTAGCTAAAAACAAAACTTCTGAAATCAGATGGAATTTGAATTTGAATTTTAATCTCTGGTTCATTTTCACTTGCTTCACCTCTTTGCATTAATCCTTCATTCGTAAAATGGGAATAACTCTGTGGTTGTGACAATGAAATCAAGTGTAGATATATGTTTACTAATATAAGTAAAGTCTGTCACAGTTTCACTCACAGTAAATATTCAATAAATGATGGATATTCCTTTTCCCATCTTGGATCGCATCCATTAGACAGGAGCTGGATAATTCAGTTCTTATCCTTGGCTTTGTCATCAGCACAGATTCTCTCAGAGGCTCAGATTACTTCTTTCCTACCTAGTTAATCACACATTTTATTAATATGCTCATGTTCAGAGAACTCTCCTGTAAACTCCAGATCCTTTTTTTATCAACTGCCTAAACAGCATCTATAATTAGTTGTCTGAAAAGTATCTCAATACCATGTCTAAGTTCAGATACCATCCCAGCTCTCCCCAAAGCCATCCCTTACTCTACAGTTATACAAATCTCAAGGGAGGACAACCTCAGTTTTTAAATTTTTTTAAAGATTTATTTATTTATTTATTTGAAATGCTGAAACAGAGACAGACAGAGAGACAAAGAGACAGAGAGAGATTTTCTATAGGCTGGTTCACTCCCTAAAAGGCTGCAACTTCTCAGGCTAGACTGGGGCTAGGCCAGGCCAAAGCCAGGATCCAAGAGCTTCTTCTGGGTCAAACACTTGGGCCACCTTCTACTGCTTTCCCAGGCCATAGCAGAGAGCTGGATCGGAAGTGGAGCAGCCAGGACTGGAGCTGGTGCCCACATGGCATACCGGCACTGCAGGTGGCATCTAAACTCACTGAGCCACAGCACTGGCCCCAGGCAATCTCATTTGATAGCTGTATGACACAAAAAGCTTGAAGTCACCCATGATTCTTATCTTTTTCTTAGCAAGACTTGTTTTCCCTATCTCTAACATATATCCTGAATAAGACAATTTCTCCTGCCACCATACGGGGTTTGAGATGGTTAATTTTATGCGTCAACATGGCTGGGCTATAGTGCTTAGATATTTGGTCAAACACAATTCTGAATGTTTCTGTGAATGTGTTTTTTGGCAAGATTAGCTTTTAAATCAATGGACTTTCACTAAAGTCATTACCCACATCATGTGGGTGAGTTGCATCCAATCAGTTGGAGGTCTTACTAGAACAAAGGCTGACTTCTCCCCAAGAAAGAGGGAATTCTGCCAGGAGACTGCCTTTGAACTTAAACAGCAGCTCCTCTCTGAGTCCTTGGCCTGTTGGTCTATCCTGTCAGATTCTGAACTCACCAAGTCTCCACAGTCACATGAGCTAATTCCTTAAAATCTTTCACTCTTTCTCTTTCCCTGCCTCTCAGTCTCTCTCTCTCTCTACCCACACCCACACACTCTGTTGATCTCATTTCTCTGGAGAAGCCTGACTAATACATGGTTCAGATCTCCACTGACTCTCACCTAGATGACTATGCCAGACTCCGAATTGGTTTTCTATTCCCATTCTTGTCCTGCTACAACTATCTCTGTACAATTTTTTTAAAGTTTGTTTTCAAACAAGCCAAATTTTGAGTATTCAAGTTACTACTGTCAGCCCTCTGCTGGTTCTGTATCTAGATTTCAAGCAAACTCAGATTGGAAGTATTAAAAAAAATTATATATGTATTGAACCCATACCAACTTTTATTTTTGTCATTATTCCCTAAACAATATACTACAACAATGATTTATATAACATTAGGTATTATAAGTAATCATGGAATTATTTAAAATATACAGAAGGACATATGTAGGTAAAATACAAATACTGTGCCTTATTTACTTACTTGAGAGGCAGAGCTACAGAGAGAGAGAGAGAGAGAGAGAGAGAGAGAGAGATCTTCCATCTAGTGGTTTGCTCCCCAAAAGGCCACAATGGCTAGAGTGGGGCCAATCTGAAGCGAGGAGCCAGAAACCTCCTCCAGGTCTCCCATTCGGGTGCAGGGGCCCAACCACCTGGGCTATCTTCTGCTGCTTTCCCAGGTGCATTTGCAGGGAGCTAGAAGTGGAGCAGCCAGGACTTTAACTGGCACCCATATGGGATGCTAGTATCACAGGCCAGGGCCTAACCTATTATGCCATAGTGCCAGCCTCAATACTGTATCTTATAGGGGCCGGCACTGTGATGTATCAGGTTAAATACCTGGCCTGAAGCACCAGCATCCCATACAGGTGCCGGTTCGAGACCTGGCTGCTCAACTTCCGATCCAGCTCTCTGCTATGGCCTGGGAATGCAGTAGAGATGGCACAAGTCCTTGGGCCCCTGCACCCACATGGGAGACCCGGAAACAGCTCCTGGCTCCTGGCTTTGGATTAGCACAGCTCCGGCCGTTACGGCCAAGTGGGGAGTGAACCATCGGATGGAAGACCTTTCTCTCTTTCTGCCTCTCCTTCTCTCTCTGTGTAACTCTGACTTTCAAATAAATAAATAAAAATCTTTAAAAAAAAATACTGTACCTTATAAAAGTATTGAGGGGGGCCAGCATTGTGGCATAGTGGGTAAAACTGTTGCCTGGTGAGATGCCTGGTTCCTGGCATCTCACATGAGGCTCCTGGCTTTGGCCTGGCCCAGTCCTGGCTGTTGCAAGCCATTTGGGGTGTGAACTAGCAGGTGGGAGATCCCTCTCTCTCTGAAACTCTGCCTTTCAAAAGAAGTGTCTTGAGCCTGCATGGATACTGGTACCTGTGGGAGGTTCTGGAACAAGTCCCCCATAGATGCTGAGGAACAGCTGTGTATGTCTGAACTGTAGTAACACAGTTAATAGATACTATGTTCACTCATCTTGCTATGGTTTATTAATTCAATCATTCGTGTCACACTGTCAGTCAGGAAACAAACATAAGAGCTATATATAAAATAACCAGAACATGGATCTTGCCTCAGATCTGAGGACATATAAACAAAAAATAAAATACAATGTGATAAATACAATGACAAAGTATAAGCACAGTTCAGAGAAAGCATAACATCTACTTACATTAAGAAGTTGTTTTTTAGCATATGTTCTAATCTGTCCTTGGTGAGAAAACACAAAAAACAAAATTATATTCACTGCATGTAATTAACATATTTCAAGAACAGATGCATTGGGCTTTATCCACAAAACTAATTACCTTTTTGCCAGGTGCTAAGAATTTGTGACAGAGTTCAACATCTTCAGGACAGTTTGAGAGCACCATCATTGCTGTAGACTTAAAGAGGTCCTCCATAATCTAAGAGAAACACCAGAGAACCGTCTGGTTAGGAAGTGACTCCTGATATAAAACCTATCCAGGGCTCCAGAAGGTCAGGCCTCCAGGTTTTAGCAACTAAATCCTTGGGTCTCTCAACCCCTGAATGTACTATAGCAAATGCGTTCAGTTTCCCAGGCATCTCAATTTCTTCTCATAAAGGAATAAAAAAAAAAGTCTGAATTTTTATGTTAATAGCTGTAATAGTGGTCCTGAGATGAGATGTCAAGTGAACGGATATAACCAGTAGATGACTCTAAATTTCAACAAACTCACTTACAGAATCAGGACAATAATAATACCTAGTTTACAGGATTGTTGTCAGAATTAAATGAGACAATCCACATGTAAGACTTAGCTTAGTACCTGACTTGGAGAAGCATACAACAAACGTTAGTAGTTGTCAAGAGGAAGAACATTTTGAAAGGTGATTTATGCAGTCACTGGAAAATGAAAATAAACTTTAAATCTGAGCGCAATGATGCATCTAAATACGAATGTGTACAATTTTGCTGTGCTAAAGCATAAAGTAAAAGTAACACAAGGCATTTAACACAAATCATTATATAATATTTCATTCTACCAGGGGCGTCCATAGAAAATTCATGAGAAACTAACTTGATCATATAAGAAACAGTAACTGGAGGGGTTGGCAATGTGGCTGAGCAGGTTAAGCAGCCCCCTGCGATGCCAGCATCCCATATGAGCGCCAGTTTGCATCCCAGCTGCTCTATTTCCAATCCAGCTCCCTGTGAATGTGCCTCTGAAAGCAGCAGAAGATGGCTCAAGTGCTTGGGCCCCTCCATGCATGTGGGAGACTTGGATGGAGTTCCAGATTCCTTGATTTGGCCTGGCCTAGTCCCGGTTGTTGTGGTCACTGGGAAGTGAACCAATGGTTTGAAGATCTCTCTCTTTCTTTCTTCTTCTGTCACTTTGCCTTTCAAATAAATAAGTAAATCTTTTTTAAAAAGATTTTAGATATATTTCCCACCCTAGTCTTTAAGACTTATTTATTTGAAAGGCAGAGTTACAGGGAGAAAAGGAGATACAGAGATCAATCTTCTATCTGCTGGTTCACTCCCCAAATGGCTACAACCGCCAGGGCTGAGCCAGGCTGAAGCCAGGAGCCTAGAAATCCATCCAGATCTCTCACGTAGGTAGGAGGAGCCCAAATTCTTGGGCCATCATCTGCTGCTTTGTCAGGGGCATCAGCAAGAAGCTGGATTGGAAGTAGAACAGCTGGTACTTGAACTGAAGCTCCATTATGCTGGCATTGTAAGCAGAGGCTTAACCTGCTGTAAAATCTTTTAAATGAAACCCAAAGAGATCATACCATACCCTCCTAATGTATTCACAAAGACACATCATTTATAAAAAGCACAAGCTTCTTCAAAGGCTAGGATCTTTCTTCCCTCTAATGCATCACTGGAACACCCTATGCAGGCTGGAAACACAGCGAGAGTAGAAATATCTTCTAAATTAAAGATGTCTTGCTAAGTTGTACTGCATTCCTAGTTAATTCTCTTACCTTCTGTTACTATGGTCACATGCTTCCAACTTGTCAATCTAATATAATGAAAGAAACTGATAAGCATGTGGGTACAAGGCACTGGCAATGTAGAAGAGTCATCACAATTAATCTGAGGAGTGGGGAAACAAGTTAGAATAAAAAGACGAGGCAACAGTCAAGACAAATCTGAAGGAAATAAGCAGAATTAAGAGCTTTCTCAGGGCCTAGTATTCTACATTAGGAGAGAAATGTTTAACTTCGGATTTCATGTAAAAAGTGTAAAGTACACCACTACAATTACAGAAACAGAGTGTATGCATTCTAAACCAGTGGAGGAAAGGAAAGGAAAACAGAGAAAACTAGAGGAGGCCAGGGGACAAGGTCACAGTAGTAAGGAATAACTTGGTGGAAGGAGAAGGAAGACTGAGGATCCTTTACCTGAAGGCTCAATCACCTTCAGTCCAGCACTGAGATAAAGGAATTACTAAGTAAATGAATGATTTATGAAGGGTTATATACATCAGTCACTAAGCAGAGTAGACACATACTAGGAGGAAAAAGATCAGGGAGACTGGATGCCTGCATTACTGAGTGACACAATACAGCTCTCTGTAAGACAGAAACTTTGACCACTGGGGCTGTTAAATTGCTATCTTGTATAAGCAGTAAATTTCCATTTGAAGAAAAAAAATCACTGGCTTTCCTAACCTTGACTTTCAGACTACATGCTATAAATATACTGGGAGAAAAGAGAAACTTAACTGAAGGGTCAGCACAACCCTAAGATGGTTTAAAATTGCAAAACAACTTAACAGGAATACCCAAGTGCTTATAGCTTATGAGTAGGAAAAATCCTTTGTTACAAACTCTGATTCAGTAATTTTTAAAAAGATTGATTTATTTGATTTGAAAAGCAGAATGACAGAGAGAGAAGGTGAGAGGGAGAGAGAGATCTTTCATACACTGGCTTAATCCCAAAATGCCTGTAAACAGCCTAGCCAGCACTGAGCCAGGCTGAAGCCAGGAACCCAGAACTCTATCTGGGTAGCAGGGACTCAAGTACCTGGGCTATCATCCACTTCTTTCCCAGAATGCATTAGGAGGAAACTGGACTGGCAATGAAGTAGTTAGGGCTCAAACCAGCACTATGACATGAGATGCAGATGTCCCAAGGGGCAGCTTAACACACTGCGCCACAATACCCACCCTTGATTCAATATTTGAGACTACCCTTCACCAAGGTAATTCCACAGAATAATTTACAAAATAGAGAAAAGAGAAGTGGGAGATTACTTTTAGGGGTACAATGTTTTCTTTTGTCTTTAGGAAAAAAAGTTCATATTCCAATGAACTAAATCATTCAATAGTGCATGCCTTGAGGACCACCCATGGAGAATCAAGTAAACAAGAACTCAAGTAGCAAATCCCTTTCACAAAAACGTAAAATTCTTACTTAAGTGCCTATTTATTATTAGCTTCATGGAGGTCATCATTAAGACCTGTGTAACTATGTAATGAACTGTCCAACCTATAACAACTTTCAGGAGTGAAAAATAGAAATATTAACACTTAAGCCTTTTTATCTTTCTAGCTGGCCAAAATGAAGTTGAGTTAACCACAAATTTTCTGTCTAAGCAGGCAGACTGGGGAATGGTCACCTGGAACTAAAAAACTAATGGAGATGAACTTCACAGTTCTATTTTCCTTCCTTTGTCTCCTGGTTTTGATTTGGAGGTGAAATGCTGAATTGTTTCAGCAGTACAGGAAGCAGAACTTCTGGAAGAAAGCTCCTATTTCTAGTCAGAGACCTGGGCTATTGCCAGCATTTGGGAAGTGAACCAGTGAACACAAAATCTCTGCCTTTCCAGTAGACGAAATAAAGTAAACATTTAAAATGGGCAAAATTCACAAAAAAATATTTTTGAAAGTTATTCTCTGTTTTGGTCTGGTTCATATTATTCCTCGGTTTTAACAGTCAGTGCTTGGGGCCAGCACTGTGGCTCAGTGGGTTAAGCTGCATTCTGTGATGCTGACATCCCATATCAAAGTACAAGTTTGAGTCCCTGCTGCTCTGCTTCTGATCTAGCGCCCTGCTAATGCACCTGGGGAAGGCAGTGGAAGATGGCCAACTACTTGGACCATGGCCACCCACGTGGGAGACCTTGACAGTGTTCCTGGCTCTTGGCTTCATGTCTGATACAGTGTTGATCATCATGGCCATTTAGGGAGTGAACCAATGGAAGAAGATCTCTTTCTGTCTCTCTCTCTCCCTCTGTCAGTATGCCTCTAAAATAAGTAAGCCTCAAAAAATAAATAAGTAACCAGTGCTTAATAAATTAACCTAAAAATCCATCAACTAGGGTATCTAGAAATATTAACAAAGAGAATGAATGGAAGAAAAAGAGAATGACATAAAGAAATGATTCATTCCAAACATTAATATTAGATCTGAAATGGCCCACTTGATTCATTTCAAACATTAACATTAGATCTGAAATGGCCCACTTATCATATTTACAGGAGAATAAAAGAATTTCATGGACTTGTTGACTAAGTGCAAAGCTAAAATCTGCAACTGAATCCTGCTCACAACTTACTAAAAAGGTCTGCAGCTTATATTATCTATTACTCAATGTTCTCACTAATACAGCTGAGGAAATAAAATTTATTTTGCAACCACATCTTATCACAAAATAAATTATAGAGCAAAGACTTTAAATGTTTAGTAAACTCTAAAGTATGCATTGTCTGTAACTTTTCCCTTTGGTATCTACATTGGGCAATGGAGACAGGTTTCATTCCTTACAATACTCTTACTTCCTCACCGTCTACACAGTGAGCTCAAATGAAAGCTGCTTAAGGAATATAACGACTCTCAGGGAGGCTCAGATCTGGAATCCCTACAATGCAGAACAGGGTTATTTAACAGTCGCACTGCTGGTGTTTGGCGCCAGATAATTCTTTGTGTGTATGTGTGTGTATTGTGTGCACACGGAGGGGGTTGGGGGGAGTGCTGGGCGCTGTAGGATGTTTTATGTTTCCTCTCACTACATGCAGGTAGCATTCACTCTTCCCACCTTTGTTCTCTCCCAAGTAGGGATAAGAAAAATGTCCCATAGGGAACACCAACCTGGATCAATCAGTAGGAAGTGTTAAGAAGGGATGAAAGTGGATACTACAGCGTGTGGTGGGAATGCTCCTTTAGGGCCAATTGCTGTTATCTGGGAACTTGGGAATGTTAACTGCTGATGATTTTTGAGTTCTCTTTGGACACTGTCAACTCACAAATGCTGCCTTGCTCTCGGTCATATCCCTTTCAGAAGCCAGCCATGTCCAATGACTGGCTGATGTGGGGAGGCACAGAGATCTATCCCCTTTGTCTTTATATGGGACAACTGTGAAGGACCACTCCAACTCCAAAGTTCTCCACAGAATAAGCTATGACCTCTGTAAATGCATCATAGTTCAATAT